TTTCCCTCTGCTCTGTGAAGACAATGGAAAGCCCCAGCCCCAGCTCAGGGGATGCCAAAGTTAACGGAAATGCAATGGAAGTGGCTCAGAAGGGCGGTAGGGTTGGGTGGGAGCTTGGGTTAGTGACATCCCATTCATGTTCTTGCTGTTTTAAGAACTTAGATCTTGGTTGGGGTGAGGGAGGTCTGCTCCTGCATGGCTAACCAATGCATGGGATTGGACACTATTCTGTCCCAGGCACTGCACCACGTGTCCTTCCTGTATACAGAGAGATGGGATGGCATTGGTTGTGTTCCTGAGATCAGCGGTGGCATTGGGACACCTCAGCACCTGAGCAGGAGTTGGAACAAGACATGGGTTAGAAGGTGGTAGTAACACTGCGTGTTGAATTTTTCTTTCTGGCCTGCTGACTAGGTCGAGGGGCTCCTGGATGATGTTGACTTCAAGGCCAAGGTTTCCAGGCAGGAGTTTGAAGACTTGTGCTCTGATTTGTTCCAGCGGGTCCCTGGGCCCGTGCTGCAGGCACTGAGCAGTGCAGAGATGAATCTGGTAGGTCCTGTGGTGGTCCCTGGCATTGAGGGGCTGCTCCTCACAAGTGCTACCGTTTGAGTGTGGTCTAGCTGACAGGACACTGTGGTCTGCTGACAGTTGCAGGCTCCTACTTGTCTAAAGGAGAGGCCCAAGGATGGTGATGCAGAAGGAGAAGATGTCTGCTGCTTTGTTCAGCAGCTATTTGTGGTCCCCCTCTGCACTGCACTGGCTGCCCATAAACCAAAGACTCGTGCTTGTGTTGCTGTTTCTTTTTAAAAGCCCTTAAACTTGGCTTGAGTGACTCAAACACCAGCCTCTCCTACATCTCTGACATTGGCCCAGTTCCCTGCTCCAGCACTTGCTCCAAACTGACTAGGTAGAGGAGTACCCCTGTCTCGGTGCCCCTGTGGGGCCTGGGCCTGTTCCTGATCATGGCTATGTCCCAGTGTAGTGCACACATTGGAGGTGCCTTTATATTCTAGAGTTACTTCTGGCTGTCTTGAGGAGGCAGCACAAGGCCTTTGGGGTCAAAGTCTTACAACCTTGGCTTTTACCTCTTCCTATCTGGCTGCCTCTTCTGACCTGGAGCCTGGTCTGGCTTTGATTTCTTTGCTGAATGTGCTGCCTTGGAGAGTGCTTTGTAACCTGTCCCTATACAGCAATCACTTTCTCAGGCCCAGCTTTTGTAGGCACTACCCCAGGAACGACATTGGTATTGGGCTCCTTGCCCTTTGAAACTGGGGGAAATGGCGTGACTGCAGAGTGCTGTAGAAATGGCAGGGGTGGGGAAAGGGGAGAAAGAAGCAGTAGACTTGTTTTTGCAAAGGTGCATTCTTAGCACAGCCTGGTTGTTTCCAAACTCCTAGGACGAAGTTGATCAGGTGATTCTGGTGGGAGGTGCCACCCGTGTCCCCAAAGTGCAAGAGATTTTACTGAAAGCTGTGGGCAAGTAAGTGTGTGCATCAAGGGGGCAGCCTGCCCCCAGCTCCCACCAACCTCCTGTTTGTGTCGGTGGCAGAAGTTTACATCTCTCTTCCCTTGGCTTCAGGGAAGAGCTGGGGAAGAACATCAATGCTGATGAGGCAGCTGCGATGGGTGCAGTCTACCAGGCAGCAGCTCTGAGCAAGGCCTTCAAGGTCAAGCCCTTCCTAGTACGGGATGCAGCTACTTTCCCCATCCAGGTAAGCCCAGGTCTCTCCTCTCCTGGGAGGGGGCGTCATGGGGCAGCAAGGGATGGGTTTTCAGGTGAGCCGTGGAACCTCATGTGGCAGGGAGGGGATAAGAAAGACGTGGCGGTTTCGCTGCAGAGGGAGAGGGATACCACATGCAGGAAGGGGGCCTTGTGCTGTAGGACACAACAAAGTGACACAGTATTTAGAAACATGTTAAACCCCCTTTGTAGGAGACGTCACGAAGGGAAGTGTTGCCATTGGCATCTGATGCTTTCCCTTGCCTGTTCTGCAGGTGGAGTTCACCCGGGAGGTTGAGGAGGAGGACAAGTCCAAGAGCTTGAAGCACAACAAGCGGATCCTGTTCCAGCGCATGGCCTCGTACCCACAGCGTAAGGTTATCACATTCAACCGCTACACGGATGACTTCGAGTTCTACGTTAACTATGGGGACCTGTCTTTCCTGAGCCAGGATGACCTACGGTGAGCATGAGCGAGCAGCTGCTCAGACTCAGCCAGAGAAGTTCAGCTGCAGCTGCATGGCCGCTGTTTTTGCTACAGCAGCAGGACAGAACTGATTTGAGCACGCCAGGGTGTGCACAGCATTTGCACTGCAGCTCTGAGCGGTCTCCCCTTGTGCCAGGATGCTTCATTAGAGACTGAGGTTTGGATGGATGTTAAGAGGGGAACCTCTACCTAGAGACTGAGCTCTGCTCTTCCCATAGAGCCAGTAGCCCCAGGTCACAACTGAGAGCAACAGGGAGATAATTGGTTGCCAGTTTTTGCGGCTACTCGTGGGATAGAGGGAAGGTTCTGAGCACTTGATCCCTTTCCCCCAGCACACAGCAAGGGCTGCCTCTACAGGCTGTCCCTGCTTCCTTGGCTTGCTTACTGAGCCCAGGACACCATGGAGAAGTGCTTGGCTTTATCTGGTCTGTTGGAGCAGGTCCCGTCTGTCAGAGGGGAGCATAAAGGAATAAGTGCCACACTGTAGATGTTGGCATGGCTACACTCTGGCTAATGTGGCTGGCGTGTGGGGCTGTAAATGGAGTACAGCCATCAAAAGCCCTGGAGTGAGTGGGGGAGGAGCTGGTATGGAGCTGTGGGCAGCCACCCCTCGTCCCCTCTTCAGCTCAGCCTGTTAATGCTCGGGCCTTTTTCCTTCCTCTTGCTGTTGCCCTGGTTTCTCTTTCCACCCTCCCCCCCTCCCAGTATCTTTGGGTCCCTGAATCTCACCACTGTGCGGCTGAGAGGAGTCGGGGACAGTTTCAGGAAGCACTCGGACTACGAGTCCAAAGGCATCAAAGCTCACTTCAACATGGATGAGAGCGGAGTGCTCAGCCTTGACCGGGTAAGCACCAGCCTGCTGTCCAAGCCCCTGGGCCCAACCCTGTGTGGGCTGCCAGAGGTTTCTGTTGTCATCATGGCCATTGTTGTGTCTTCCCTCCCAGGTGGAGTCTGTGTTTGAGGCTGTGGTTGAGGACAAGCCAGAGGAGGAGTCAACCTTAACAAGTAAGCACTGAACCCCTCACACTTGCTATTCAGGCAGGTGCTTCCCTGTAACTAGGATCCCTGCCTACCTGGAAGGGCTGAGTTCCTGGGGAGCTGAGGACAACTTGCAGCAGCAAAGTAACTTGTGATTCTGAGCAAGTGCTGCTGGTACTGCTCCGTGTGCACCTGAGCATTTCTCAGTATTGTACCACAGCGAGTGGAGCATATGTGTAGCATGAGGGAGATGCGTTTGCTCAGCCAGAGCCACCAATGCAAAAGGAAACACAGCTTTTAGCTGCGTCTCGAGTGGGAGTCCTGCCTGCCTGTTTGGTGCTTCAGTACTCTGTCCCGGCCATCGGGCTGTATTTTGTACTGACTGGATGTTTCCTGTTGTACTAGGTCTGGGGCTGGGGCTGGCGCTGAGAGTTATGCCTAATGTTAGGGTGTCTGGGCGGGCAGCCAGGGCAGTAACAAGTGGGAATGGTCATTGCAGCTTTGAAGAGGAAAAGTCCAGGCTATGTTGTAGCAGAAACAAGGGTCCCATTCTGCAAACAAGCGGTTGTGGCACTGGGGACAGCTAGCAGGGAGGGGTGGGAGTCATTGCTCTACAACTTGTCCCTTCGGTATCTGTGGAGGTTGGGGAGGCACTTTGCAGAATCAGCCCATCAGTTCTAAAGCCCAGGAGACAGTTTTGCAGTGTTGCTGAACTGGACTGATGCACCCCACCCCCCCTCGCAGACCAAAGGTTACCAGGCTGAGTCAGACATGACTTTCGGGTCTTTCTCCTCCACCAGAGCTTGGAAACACAATCTCCAGCCTGTTTGGAGGAGGAGGCCCGACTTTGGAAACGGGAGAGAACCTGACGGAGACTGTTCAGGTAAGAGACTGCCTCTCCACTGGAGCTGGAGGTGGCACAGGTGCTAGCCAGAGGCGGCAGTGGTAAAATGTGGAGCAAGGAAGGGAATGGTTCTCAGATGTCAGGATTAAAAGCACCTGCTGCAGGAGCTCACATCTGTCTGTCAGCTGGATGCTACAGATACAATAAATGCATACCAGTCACCTCCTGCTGCTAATCCCTGCATCCTGCCCTCCAGCCCAGGGACTAGGGCTGAACATAGCTGCTTTGCAGCCCCTGCTGTAATGCTGGAGAAACATCTTTATGGCAGGTCTGTTACTTCCAGACCCCATGTTGTCCTTGCAGGTGCCTAGGCTGCTGGGCCTGATGGCTCGTTGTTGCCCATAGGAAGCTCAGTCCTCCTAGTGAGGCCAGAGAACTGAGCCATAGGTGGCAATTCCATACTGATGTGGGTGAACTTCTCCAAAGTTTCTGCCCTGCCTGATCCCCACTTTGCAGCTGGTGCTCCCCTCAAGACCAGTCCACTCTGAAGCACCTACATACGGTTTCCATATGAAAACTTTGCATCTTCCTCCCTGTTCCCCAGGAGGATGAGGAGAACCAGGTGGAAACAGCCAAGGAGGAGAAACAGGGCCAAGAGAATGGAGCAGAGGCTGCCAGCAAGGAGCAAGGGGAAGAAAAGCAGCAACCGCCAGAGTCATCAACACAAGATAAAACCGGGGCTGCCGCTACAGAGGCCGATGCGCAGGAGAAGGGTGAAGGGGAGAAGCCCAAGGATCAGGTGAGTAGCTGACTTGGCAAAGGAAGACTTGTTGAATAGTGCCTCTGAGCTGGTGCACCTATGGGCTAGAATCTGCACATACATAAGCGGTTCTGCCCCATGTGCTCTGGCTCGGCACCACAGCCTTGTTTCCTGCTTGACATCTTTGAGAACCAGTCCCTGGCTTCTCTGCCCTTCAGGGGCACGGAGGAGGAAGCAGCCTTCTCGCTTAGTGTTTGTGAGAGATGGAAAATTCCTGCCCCTTGTTGATGTTTGTTCGGCAAAGATGCCTGTCCCTTTGCAGGTGTCAGTATTGCTTTCTGCCCTTGCTGCTCAGATTCACAGCCAATCTCCTCTCTCCTTCCCAGGCTTCATTCTGGCCCTCACCATGTCTCCCTCCCTCCCCATGTTTGCCTGTTGGCTGTCAAGAGAACAGGCTGAATAAAAACGGAAACTTGAGGGAAGTTGGCTAATTCAGGGTAAAATACAACCTTACTTAAAAGCACAGCCTTTTTGCTGACAAAGACAAGGCTTCTAAGGGCTGGTTTGCATCAGTGTTTGTGAAGCACTGAACGGCACTGTAGGTTTGCATTGCAAGTGCAGGGACACACAGATGGTCTGTGGACCCTTGACCTTCAATAGTTTGCATCAGGTTGTTGGCTGTTGCTTTTGAAAGCATACCTGGCAAGGTAGAGGGTGCTGCATGTTTGTGCCTATATACTTTGGAGTTGCTTCTTTCCAATGCAGGATCCCAAAGAAAAGGAAGAGTCCAAGAAAGAGGAGGAATTGCCCAAAAGTCCTAGTGATGGTGCAGCCACTAAATTAGAGGAGGAAAAGAAACCCAAAGCTCCCAAGAAGCAGAAGCTGGTGGATGAGATAACCATAGAACTTGATGTCAATGATGTGCTTGACCTTCTGGAGGATGAGCTGAAGAGCTCAGCAAAGAAGTGAGTTTGACGGGCGCATGGCTGAAGGGAGGGACAGCTATAGGAGCAGGCTGGCCTGGGACTAGGGAGCCAGAGCAAGTAATGAATTTTACAGCATGTGACTCAGTGAGATGAGCTGATGGCCAGAGAAAAAGGCCCGCTCCTCCTGGCCTCAGATGCATCTACTTACGCTAGATGTTGTCAGTCCTTGTTCCTCCTTTCCTGGGGCAAGGGAAGTACCAGCTCTGGACTGGGGTGGCAGTGAGGGGCTGGGGGTCTGATAGGTACTGATCTCTGGAGCTGGCTTGGGGCTGTCCCTTGTCCTCTTCGGGTCTTCCGAGGGAGCTTCTGTGGCTTGGAGCCTCAGACCAGGGCAGTGAGAGAGATTACTTCAATTGCTCTCGCTGCTGCATATGAAACTGCACTTGAGGACTGCATTTAAATCACTCCCATCCTCCACACAGGGGTCCTCCTTCCTGCCCTTGCAATCAGGGAAGCTTTTGATGTCAAAGGTGGTGGGAGGGGCACGGATCTGGAACTGAGAGAAACCACTCCTGTCCTCTCACCTCTGAGCTTGGATCCCCATAATGTCTGTGCATCTACCCTGGCTCTGGCTATGTGAGAGGTGCCACCCCCTTTCACAGTCCTTGGCAGCACAGGGAACATGACCAGCACAAGGAAGATGATGCCGCTTTTTGCTTATGTCTGGCTTCATCACATTTCAGACTCCAGGACCTGACAACCAGAGACTTGGAGAAGCACGAGAGGGAGAAGTCAGCCAATAGCTTGGAGTCCTTCGTCTTTGAGACCCAGGTAAGAGTGAGATGGGCTGCAAAGCAGGTGGGAATGGCTGCAGGTGGCAGGGCTGAGCTAGCTGCAGAGAGCTGCATTTGCTCATGCGTGGGGGAAATCTCTTTGGAGGATTGAGATTCTGTCCACCAGCGGTGTTAACTTGCCCAGTCCTATGTGGAGTTCGGAGCCTGCTGAGGTAGGAGGAATCATGTCAGGAGTTAGTCTGTGTGCTTAAAAAACCCCTTTGCCTTTGTAAAGCTCCTTCCCTGCCTTGCCTTATCTCTGTTGTGCTGTCACTGGGAAGAAACCAGTCAGATAAGAACACTGGGGTAGGTGCACACTGCTGTTGCTCCTACTGTTGGCCCATCCTACCACTGCTGGCTTGAGTTGGAAGCGAGATTGGGGGCTGAACTAGGGTCTCCTGCTTAATAGCACCTGGGAGCATCCTGGTCCTTGCAGTGCTAGTGTACGGCACCCAGAGTGCAAATGCAACAGTTTTGTGTGTGTTCCTTTTACTCAGCAGTTCACAGACAACACTTTTGCTTTGTCTTCTCAGGACAAGCTTTTCCAAGAGGAATATCAGTTTGTGTCAACAGAGGAGCAGAGAGAAGAAATCTCCAGAAAGCTAAGTGAAGCCTCCAACTGGATGGAGGAGGAAGGGTATGCAGCTACAACCAAGGTATTGCTGCAGTGTGTGGGAAATAGGCTTAGGTTCCCTCAGTCTGGAAGAGCAAGGGTTGATCCAGAGATGCTAACATGCTGTTGGGATGGCTTTTGGGATGTCCTGGCACTTGGGAGCTCTTGTATTCATTTTGCCCAGCATTGAGTTGCACTAGGACTAGCTCTACCAGTGCTATTTCTGTCATGCTGAATCCAGCAGGTCACAGCTCTCTCTGCAGGCACAATGTCTGTGTCGCTCCTGCTTGACACAGTGCTCTTGCATTCACTGGAGTACCCAGGCAGAACTCCTGCAGTTCAGGCTTCTGTGATTTCTGGATGTCTCCAGATGCCTGATGAGATTTGTTCCTGTCTTGGTTTCACTTGCAGGAACTGAAGGAGAAGCTTATAGAGCTGAAGAAACTTTGTAAGGGCCTTTTCTTCCGTGTGGAGGAAAGGAAGAAGTGGCCTGACCGCCTGGCTGCCCTGGAGAGCCTGCTCAACCACTCCAGCATCTTTCTCAAGTAAGAGTGAGATAAGTGCTGAGACTATTTGATTGGCTGAATTAAATGGAATCTGGTCCCGAGCTGCTGAAAGCACAGAAGGAAAGGGATTGAAGGGTGGTGCTTGGAGGATATGCTAACAGAACTGCACCTTGGACCAAGGATGACGTCCTTGTACATCCTGTAACGCACGCATCTTCTCGGGTGGGCCAGGACTGCCCACACACCTTGGCTCCTCCAGCCTAGGCTTCCTGTCTCTTAGTAAGCCTATCTCTGTCATGATCACACCTGGAGCCTTTTGTCTCCCCTTTCAACCCGGTAGCTTTTCATCACCACTGAATGTGAGGTGGGGATTCTTTATCCCATTCCCAGTACCCTGAGATGGAGCTGGGTGTCAGTTATGTTATATAAAGTCAGCAGTAAGATCCAGATAAAGTGGTCAGCTTGCGCGCTGGATTCTGTAGAGGTTTCAGACACTGTTGATGTGAATGTCTACCTTGCATGGCCAGAGTAATAGATGCTGCTTTGTTCTTGTCTTTGAGGGGAGCCCGAATGATTCCTGAGCCTGATCAGATATTCACAGAAGTGGAGCTGAGTACCCTAGAGAAGGCTATTAATGAAACAACGGTAAGGAAAAAGGCCAGGGCGGTCTTGGTTACGTAGAACGTGTTCAGTGTGAGCAATTGGCTTTGTTCTCATGTGGGGATGGGGAGCATCGTGCGTATCGCATACTCATGTCAGCAAACCATTTCTCCCTTGTGCTTCTCAGCCCCTAGCTTTTCACCTTGTACAAATGCAGTGTTTGGAGATGTTTATCCGTATGCAGTATGGGAGGGCTGGTGCTTCCCCAGTAACTAGCATGTGAATAGTTTTCAGAGCAGCCTTGGGATTTCTTGATCTTTGTTGCAAAGAGGATGGAGAAAGTACAGGAGGTTGCAGTGTTGACTGTGGTCAGTTAGCATGTTCAAATGGTGTGGGTGAGACCATTTTAACGCTGCTTCTCGGCACCAAGAAGTGGTGGTGTGCTTAAGGGAAAGTAGTGACACTGCTTTCTTTTGAAGATCTGGAAAAATGAGACCCTGGCAGAACAGAATAAACTTCCTCCCACCGAGCGGCCAGTCCTGCTGTCCAAGGACATAGAGCTGAAGATTGGTGCCTTGGACAGAGAAGTGCAGTACCTTCTGAATAAGGCAAAGTTTGCAAAACCCAGACCCAGGAAGGAAAAGAATGCCACTAAAACTGACTCAGGCAAGAATTCCACGTCTCCCCCTGAGAGTGAGGGGATCATCCCTCCCAAGGAGGAGAAACGGGAAGGTGAGAGGAGCACTCGAGTGGTGGGTACCCCTGTGGGCATCTTCTGCCTTTAACTGCCGGTTGTAAAGTAGCTTCGAGTAGTCTGCACACAGCTGAGGAGACCAGCAGTGAAGCCTTTGGTACATCAGGAAGGAATATTGGTTCTCCAAATAATTGGGGATTGCAGGAAAAATGGGTGAAGCCTAATGCAGCCCTGGTACTATGGAAGCTAGGGTGTAGAATCCTTTCAGTGAAGGGCTGGGTGCAGGAGATAGTGTCTCTCCAACACCCACTCAGTCTCTGGTACGTGTCATCAGGCCTGGCCTTCCATACTGAAGAGGTGCCGCCTTGCTCTGGGTACCTGGGGCTTCCTGGAGGTTGCTCCTATTCTCTGCCTGGGTTCAGACTTCCTCGGTGGTTCTATGTGGAACATTAAGCATGTAGCTGACAACTCCCCTAGTTTTAACCATCAAAGGCGAAGTGCCTTATCCCTCTGGCGCTCCCCCCTGCTGTGCTGCAGGCAGACATCCCTGCGCAAGGTCTGGCTCCTTTATTGGGATGGGTCTAATTCAGAGCCCTTTGGTTACAACCCCTGGGATATCCTCCTGCACTGGCTGCTAGCCTGTTCAAATGCCTTGCCTTATTCTAACTGCCCCTTGGTCCTTTCTGCTGTCACTGGTCCCTGCCAGACTCTTCCCTCTTTCTGCTTGGTGGTGGTGGCTATTCTTATGCCCTTACGTTTCCCACAGAGGAACCTCTGCAGTAGGTTTACCCTTTGGCCATCTCAGGTCTACTCTGCATGTTGACTAGTAATCTGCTGATGGGCTGCTGTTGGTCCACTTAGTCTCCACTGGCAAGTTGCTCTCATTTCATCTCCTATAGTAGAGCTGAAGAAAATCTGGGGCTTGAAATACCTGCTGTGGTTGCGATTTACCTTTCACTGTTTTCTGTCCCCCCATGATGCAGGTAAACCAGAGGATGCTAGTCCGGTCAAAGAACCTCCTACATCTGAGAGAGAAGCAGCAGGTGACGAGTTGGGACCAGATACAGGTAGGGGTATGTTTGTGTGAGGACCAGAACCTTAGCGACTGTGAAATGCAAGTAAGCCAGTGAGTGTGACGGGCCCTCTGGCTGCTGCAAGTGAATTGGTAACGTGGCCGTCCTGCAGACCAGCAACCAGTAAGTGTTTGGGGCTGGAATTGCAGTTATGACTTCATCGGCCCTGGAAAAATAGTTGAGAGAGGGGAGCTGAGTATAACACTTGGAGCACAGACCCACGCAAAAACAGGTGTCACTGACTGGAAACCCTGGGCACTCTCATTAGCCCAGCTGCAGGGTTACATTCTCTTCAGTACTTTCAGCTGTGTCCTGGCCACTGTTTGGTCATGTAATGCTTGGTAAGATGGAGTACTGGCCTGATCTGATGTCACAACTATTTTCCTGTAAAATGTGGGTGGTAGCTGGAACAAAACTTGGGAGGTCTGTGCTTGGGACACTGTCAGGTGAAACTTGGCCCAGTTTTTAAATGGTACAAGAACACTCTTACAATCTAACCAATAGCGGTCTCTCTTTACAGCTGCTATATTGTGGTGGTAAGGGGTGGGGAGACCTTAGTTGTACCCTGCAATGTGTGGAAGCTAAATGGTGAAGAACTGCTCTAGTTCATGAGAGCCTGCAAGGAAACTAATCTT